GACGATGCTTAAGATGAAATCTTGTCCCTATTGAAGTAAATGGAACTTTAAGTACAAATTAATGTGATCTTTGCCTAAGTATTGTAAAGAATCTGCCTTTCTTAGAAAAAGCAACTCTTTCTATAACCAAATATACACAAAAATCAAAGGGCAAAATCTGCTATAAACTCTGCTGCCTCAGCCAGGGCATAGATATCTACCAATATTTTTAATTACATACATAGAATCAAATCCATCCTTTATCTGTGGTTGAAATCTAGAAAAACAGTGCATTACAGTGCTAGATTAGGACTTGGAAGACTGGGGTACTGTTCCTGGCAATGTTACTAACCTGCTGTGGGACCTTGGGACAGACATTTCACCTTTCTGTACCTGTTTCCCTCCTACCTTTAATTTATTTAGACTATAAACTTTTCAAGGCAGAGGCAGTCTTGTTACATATTTGTAGGGTATCTACCATAACAGGGCCTCTAGGTGCTACTGGAATGCAAATAATAGTTGCACAGATGTGAGAGCAAAATTTGGCTCTTGCCAGTTTCAAGGTCATTACTGGGTGAAAGAACTGCTGCATAAAATATGACTGAGCCAATCAGCCTGTGGCTGTCTTGTTGATTATATAACCCTACCGTATAAAACACAGTAAAAATATCTGAGGTTTTCCCACTCAGTGTCGCTGAACTTCATCTGTGAAATGGTTGGTCTCACTGGACTGATTGACTATTACCATAGATTCACTTGAACTATTATAGACTTACAATAGTGCTTTTTATCAGCAAATTGCACATTTCCCTATAAAGGTTAATTAAGTTTTGTGACCCCCCCCCATAATGTAAGGAAGAATTATCCCCCATTTACTGATGGGGAAATTCAGGCACACAGCAATAAAATGACTTCCCTAAGGTCATAAAGCAAATTTGTGGCAGAGCCAAGAAGAAAACCCAGAATGCCTGACTCCCAGTCTCCTGGCTCTCACCAGACCATGCATTTATGCCATAGAGCAAAATTTAACCATTTCCACAGCAGTAGCATGTGGGCTCTGAAACACAGGTAAGAAAGCATCGAATGTTCCAGCCCACTTAATCTGAAAGCTTCCTATAAGTCTGTGGAAACACATAAAGCAGACAGGTCAATTTTATATTGATTGATGGCATTTTGGAATAAAAAGCTTTGATATATTCAATTTATATTTAAAACATATACACACACTGTTAAAATCTAACATTAAGAGCTTTTTCTTTTACATTTTCTTAAGGGTCAGCAAGAGACACTTTCATAGAATCATAGGACTGGAAAGGACCTTGAGAGGTCATCTAGTCCAGTCCACTGCATTCGTTGCAGGACTAAGTATTACCTAGACCATCTCTGACAGGTGTTTGTCTAACCTGCTCTTAAAAATCTCCAATGATGGAGATTCCACAACCTCCCTAGGCAATTTATTCCGGTGCTTAACCACCCTGACAGTTAGGAAGCTTTTCCTAGTGTCCAGCCTAAACTGCCCTTGCTGCAATTTAAGCCAACTGTTTCTTGTCTTATCCTCAGAGATAAAGGAGAACAATGTTTCTCCTTCCTCCTTATAACAACCTTTTATGTACTTGAAAACTGTTATCATGTCCCCTCTCAGTCTTCTCTTCTCCAGACTAAACAAATCTAGTTTTTTCAATCTTCCCTCATAGGTCATGTTTTCTAGACCTTTAATCATTTTTGTTGCTCTTCTCTTTCTACACAGCATGCCAGAACATTGGCTTAATAGCATTTATCTGTATGCACAAATTATCTGGTACTATGTATCTTTGCATAATATTTGCAACAAACTGAGTGAGGTGTCTTATTTTTCAAAGATTAAACAAGAATATTTTTTAAATTATTTGTACTGTCTGTGCCTCAGAGTCCCATCCATAATATCGACTTAATTACACTTGCCCTCCTTTATAAAGCACTATGAATGGCAAGCACTATATTACCGTGTGTGTATATACACAATGAACTCTTTTATAGGGCCAAATTCTGCCCAAGAAACAATCAAAGAGAGCTGAAATCAGTGGGAGTTGTCTGCATGTGTCTGAGGGAAGAATTTGGCCAATAACAAAGGCATTTATAATGAATCCTTCACTGAAATACCCAGTTACTACTGGAGTGATTTTCCTTTATACAACAGCTTCATTTTAAGCAGAGATTCACTAAAAGCAGCATTGAATAAATGCATCAACATTCTTCTAGATTCTCTGCCTACTTCACTGTGATTGGAGTTTCACTGTGTCTGAACTCATTGTAAGCAAAGATCTACTCTCTATTTTTCCCCTCTAGACAAAATTGGCTTTCACAGGCCTCTTTGATAGTTCCAACCACTGTTGGAAATCACCATTTATTCCTTCCCTTCCCATTCAATATCTCATTGAGAAGAAAGTTTGCAGAGGGGATACATGTTCAGGGCAGCATTTCAATGCCAGAAGTTTCTATTCTTATGGAGATTAGATGCAGGGGTCCACCACAATCTGATGAAGAAGGAAGAGCTGCAAGGTTACCCCCGCCATCCCCCAAGATTATATCTGAATTGATAAATTTTGTCTCCCTAGTGTTTTGCAGTTGCCAGGTCTTTTCTCGATACTGATCTTTCCATACCCTCCTTTACCTACATTGCTGTGTGGTTTATGTTAGACTGCAATGCTTCATTTTATTATTTAATTGTATATTATATCACTGTAAGTGTACACAGTGAAAATGTGCCAAACAAATTAATACTGTTCTCAAAGAGTTTACAAGCTAAGGGCCCTATCCTGAATCACAAAAGTAAATAGGAATTTTGCAAGATTGGACCTGTAAGGCATGAATTGTAGTCATACAACAACAGCAAACACAGAAGGCCAAACTCTGCTGTTTTACTCATGCAAGTAGCACCGTGCGAGTCTTTGGCTTTGGCCCAAAGTGTGTTTGTAGTATCTCAGAGGAAGGGTATACTTTCTACAAAATGGGCCAAATTCATCCCCTTTGTAACTTCACTGACTTCAGTTACAGCAGGATGAATTTGGCCCAGTGACTGTTAAAAACACTGCCTTCATATTTTCCTTAGGAACTCTCCTTTTCAAATGATGGAGTCTGAGCGTAGAGCTAGTGCTGTCGCTACAATGCACGTGCAAGTCCTGCACCCTGGAAATCCTCAGCCTTTGTACAACAGGGTATGAGCATTGTAAGCAGAGATCTACTCTCTATTTTTCCCATGCATGCATCCGACGAAGTGGGCATTCACCCACGAAAGCTTATGCTCCAATACATCTGTTAGTCTTAAAGGTGCCACAGGACTCTCTTGCTTTTTAGGGTATGAGCATGGTATTCAGTCACCATGAATACATGCAACCAACTGCTCATTCATTTTAAAGGAAAAGCAATTGCATCCATTCTCTGTAAGTATCTTATATATGCCTCAATAAGATATTTAAAATCTCACTCAAAATTCTTTGAAACCTCAAACTGTCAGTTTTGGAACCATGCTGTATAGTGAATGTGTAATATACAATGTATGTATTCATGGCATACTGTGTGCATGCAGGTATACAGTGCACGCATGGCAAAAAGGTATATAATGGTGTATGGAGCACATATGGCATATGTACAGTTCATGAATGTATAGAGTTGTATGTAGACCAGAGTCCTAGCCAGCTGTGTGTGGATAAAGTGTGCATATTTCTTATGCTCAGCATATGCATGTTGCAGAGAATGTTACATGCACAGGCTGCACAGTGTATTGTGCATGAGTGAGCAAGGTGTATGTATAGTAGATGGTATATAGCGTATAACAGTGCACATACAGTGTGGTGGGTATAACACTTGAACCTCCATTTTACATTTATTCCAAGAGAAAGTAGCTAACCTCCCCACACGTCACCCCCAGGCAGCAGGAACGGGTTTTAGGTTGGGAATCGGAAGGGAATGCTAGTGCTGAGGGTGCACAAGCACCCCTGGCTTGAAGTGGTTTCCACCATACGCAGACAGGGTTTACAGTTGTGTTCAATGGCTTTCAGCACCCCCACTAAAAATTTTCCAACGCCACTAGCTGGAGCCACAGAAAGCATGTGTAGGGAAGACGGATATTGGACCACTAAGGGACTGGCCAGGAGCGGGGGCCTGAAGGAAGGAGCAGTGAGGAATCAGGAGACTGAACTCCTTAGAGGTCAGGAGTCAGCTCGGGGAGTGAGGGTGGGGGGGGGGGGGGCGGCGACATGCAACTCGGGGGCAAGACTCTCTGCCTGCATCCCTGCCTGTCCTCGGCCCAGGGAGAACGGGGCAAAGAGCACCTACACAGGAGCAGCGCCGGGGAAGTGCAGCTGCTCTTCTCCACCCCAACTCTTAGCGCTGAAAGGCCAGACGCATTTCGCTCTGACGCCCTAAGCTGCCCTGCTCTTCCCTCCGCTGAGCCTGCGCGCACAGTCGTTAGGTAGGAGAGCGGGCGGGTAAAGGAAAGTTCACTAGTGTCCCGCGGCCGGGGCCACACGAACCCGAAGCGCACGCGCACCCCAGGGGCACAGTGACTGAGGCCGGTGCACGCGATGCCTGTGGACAGGGTGCAGCCGCTGCCCGTTGCACGCATGCTGGGTTTGGCACATGCAGGCACAGGTGTAGCGGCAACACAGACCGCTCGCGCCGCCGAGCACCCTCTTTCCGCCCCTCCCACCCCCAGGTCCGGCACGCGCGCCTCCAGGCCACGAGGCAGCGGCGCGCGCGCGCGCCCGCCCGAGCGGCGGGGAGGATTGAAGAAGCGGCGGCCTGTGCGCTGATTGGCTACTCTGAGCCGGGTTCCCCGCCCACCCGGTGTGCGAGCGCGAGAGTTGGAGGGGGCGGGGATTGGTTGCTATGGGACTGACGTCAAAGAGTGTCGGAGACGGGAGCGGAGAGACACGGAAAAGGTCAAACTAAAGGCGAGGAGGAGAGGCGGCCGGAGTGGCGGGGGGCCGGGAGCGGGGCTCGAGCCGGCCGCCCCGCGGCACTCGGGGCGTCCCCCGGCCAGACGGGCCGGGCCCGGCCCAGCCCCGCTCGCGGGAGGAGCCGGAGCCCCCATCCCGTCACAGGTAGGGGCGGGTTGAGAGCCCTGCACCACTGGCCGGCGGCTCGCGGGGGAGGGGGCAAGGGCCTCGCCTTGGGGCACGGCCCGGGGGGAGCAAGGATCCCTGCTTCTCCCCCAGTACGGGGCACTGGGGCCAGGCCGGGTGGGCAGGGCAGGAGGGCTCCCCCTTCCCTCACGTTGTCCTGGGGCCCCACACTGTGGGGTTCTCTGCTGGGGGGAGGGGAACGACCTCCCTTCCCTTCCCCCCAGTTGGTCCTGTGTTGGGGAAGGGGGTGGTGTGGGAAGGATTTCTCTCCTCCCCCCCCCCCCCCCCACTGGCTCTGTAGTGGGGAAAGGATCAGCCTGGGAAGGACCTTTCCCTTCCCCCACCCATTTGCCCTGAATTGGGGAAGGGGGTGGAATGGGAAGGACCTCTCTTCTCTCCCCTCCCCCGTTGGCCCTGTATTGTGGGGGAGGTAGCATGAGAAGAGCTGCTTTTTCTTCCCATCCCCCCACCCAGTTGGGGGGGGGCAGCAGCAGGGGAAGGACCGCTCTTCCCTTCCTCTCCCCACCTCTTTGCTCTTGCTCTGATGGCCCTATCAAAGTGGGGGTGGGCAAAATGAAGAAATGAGGCTACCCACTGACTGCTCCATCTTCCTGAGAACTAGATTCTCAAGTGGGATGGGCTGTCCAATAGCGCTTTTCCTATTACCCAAAGAAACTGATGTTGGAAGTGGGAAGCTATGGCTCTGAAGGGCAAGATTGTGGGATGGGGCATAAGCAGCATTCTCCACTCAAGGTGCCACTTATGGAGCCTTCAGGAAGCAGATGCTAGGGATAAATTGTAGTCTTCCCACAAATGAGGATTCTGGGGTAAAGGATCAAAATGCAGGATCTGGGGCACAAACCATGCACTTCAAAAGAGTGAGTTATCAGGACCATCAGCCGGCAGAAGGAGTAGTTGGTCCACACACTCTAACCCACAAGAGGGTTAGACCTGAGGCAAAACACTAGATTGCATGTGAAATCACAAACTGTAAGTATACAGGCAAACAGAAATTGTTTAGAGAGGAGGGATAGGTCCTGTATTTAGGGCAGTAGCCTGGGATTTAGGAGATCGGGGTTCAACTTCCTGCTCTGCCACAGAGTTCCTGTGTGACCTTGTACAAATCACATAGTCTCTCTGTGCCTCTGTTCCCACTCTGTAAATTAGGGATAATATTTCTATACCCTGACGTGTGAATGCGAATAAATATGTTAATGATTGACTTGCTTACCTACTCTGGTAATGGTAGATTACTTATTTGTACTGCAGTCATGCTTCCAGGAAATCTATGCTGAGTGACAAATTCTCATGTAGCGGATGGATTTGAAAAGAGACAACACTTCTGTTTAGTCCTAACCTGTTCCATTGCACTATTTGCAAGGTGCTATACTCGAGTATTTAAGGTACCACAACTTCAAGGTGAGAATAGCTTCAGTGTGGGCTTTTTGCTGTATTTGCGTAGAATAGAGTTAATCTTTGTTTCACGATTAGAGGAGCAGAGTGGACATAATATTTTTTAAAAGTGCATCTATCTAAATAGGCACATGTCTGAAATGAGTGAGAAATGCTAACCTTTCTGTTTTGGGAGAGAAGTACCCTGATGTACTTGATATGCTCAAGAACACATCTTTGCAATCAGTTTGCAACTTATCACAGTACAGTTTTTGTATTTGCCAGAGCATTGACTGAATGCCACCTGAGTCTGTCTGCCAGTACTTTTGCAGGAAAGTAATAAGGAAGGCTGATGACAGGAAGTTCCCAGACCTGGTAATGAAGTGTAAATAATATTTCAACGTCAAGGAACACTTTCATGTCTCAGCTGACTGATTTATGTAACTGGTGTGATATGTTGCTTTTTAAAAAAATTATCAAGCAGCTTAAAGTCTCCATAGAAACAAACTCAGCAGTTTCCTGGAGTGAATTTGACTAAAAAAAAAATTACTCTTAAAGTTTTACTATAATTCTGGTTTTCAGATTCCATTTGGCAAGCAGTTTTCCTTCTATTTCTGGCTTTTATGGAAAGGTGCAAGCATATGTACAGGGCAAAAAAGAGGATTTATTTGACAATATCTAGGTTTTCTCCAGTAATTTGAACTACAAAGTATCACTTTTAAAGTTTTTATATGTAATTGGCATAGTCCGTTTTAACGTTTAGACGTCCCCTCGGGGAAACTGCTAGATATGTGGAGGGTAAGGGATGGACATGTCCAAAAGGGCACAGTGAAATTACAAAAAGAAAGGAGCTGTTTCCCTTTCCTATAACAAAACAAGTTACATTTAATTTTAATCTTTAACATTCAGGAGTCCTGAAAATACAAAGAACCCAGTTTCATCACTACCCCAGGCATCTTTAATTTGTGCAAGCAGCACTGAGTCAGCAGGTCACTCTAGGGTAGGATATGATGAGAAAGTCAAATGAAAGAGTCCCATTCAATTACATCATGTAATGGCAGACAGCTAAAAAGTGACAATTTTTTTAAGTGCTTATATACAAATGCTAGAAGTCTAAATAATAAGATGGGTGAATTAAAGTGCCTCGTATTAAATGAGGATATTGATATACTAGGTATCACAGAAACTTGATGGAATGAGGGTAATCAATGGGACACAATAAAACCAGGGTACACAATATATCAGAAGGACAGAACAGGTCATGCTGTGGGTGGAGTAGCAGTATATGTGAAAGAAAGTGTAGAATCAAATGAAGTAAAGATCTTAAATGAACCAAACTACCATAGAATCTCTATGGATAGTAATTCCATGCTTGAATAATAAGAATATAGCAGTAGGGATATACTACCGACCATCTGACCAGGATGGTGATAGTGACTGAAATGCTCAAGGAGATTAGAGAGGCTATAAAAATTTAAATACAGTAATAACGGGGGGTTTCAACTCTCCCCATGTTGACTGGGTACATGTCACCTCAGGATGGGATGCAGAGATGAAGTTTCTTGACATTTTAAATACTAGCTTCTTGGAGCAGCTAGTCCTGGAACCCACAAGAGGAGAGGCAATTCTTGATTTAGTCCTAAGTGGAGCACAGGATCTGGTCCAAGAGGTGAATATAGCTGGACCGCTTGGTAATAATGACCATAATATAATTAAATTTAACATCCCTGTGGTGGGGAAAACACCACAGCAGCCCAACACAGTAGCGTTTAATTTCAGAAAGGGGGATACACAAAAATGAGGAAGTTAAAAAGAAATTAAAAGGTATAGTGCCAAAAGTGAAATCCCTGCAAGTTGCATGGAAACTTTTTAAAGACACCATAATAGAGGCTCAACTTAAATGTATATCCCCATTTAAAAAACATAGTAAGAGAACCAAAAAAGTAAGTACATCAGAAGCAGGAAGCCTGCTAAACAACCAGTGGGGCCACTGGACGATCGAGATGCTAAAGGAGCACTCAAGGATGATAAGGCCATTACGGATAAACTAAATGAATTCTTTGCATCGGTCTTCACAGCTGAGGATGTGAGAGAGATTCCCAAACCTGAGCCATTCTTTTTAGGTGACAAATCTGAGGAACTGTCCCAGACCGAGGTATCATTAGAGATGGTATTCACCCAAGAGTTCTGAAGGAACTCAAATGTGAAATTGCGAAACTACTAACTGGTTTGTAACCTACCATTTAAATCAGCGTCTGTACCAGATGGCTGGAGGATAGCTAATGTGACACCACTTTTTAAAAAGGGCTCCAGAGGTGATCCTCGCAGTTACAGGCCGGTAAGCCTAACTTCAGTACCGGGGAAACTGGTTGAAACTATAGTAAAGAACAAAATTGTCAGACATAGATGAACATAATTTGTTGGGAAAGAGTCAACATGGTTTTTGGTGAGGCACAAGTTCCCCTTTACAATCTACTAGAACTTTTTGAGGGAGTCAACGAGGATGTGGACAAGGGGGAATCTAGTGGATATAGTGTACTTAGATTTTCAGAAAGCCTTTGACAGGGTCCCTCACCAAAGGCTCTTAAGCAAAGTAAGCTGTCATGGGATAAGAGGGAAGGTCCTCTCATGGATTGGTAACTGATTAAAAGATAGGAAACAAATGGTCAATTTTCAGAATGGCGAGAAGCAAATAGTGTTGTCCCCCAAGAGTCTGTACTGGGGCCAGTGCTGTTCAACATATTCATAAATGATCTGGAAAAAGGGGTAAACAGTGAGGTGGCAAAATTTGCAGATGGTACAAAACTACACAAGATAGCTAAGTCCGAAGCAAACCGAAGAGCTACAAAAGGATCTCACAAAACTGGGTGACTGGGCAACAATGTGTCAGATGAAATTCAATGCTGATAAATGCAACATTGGAAAATAGAATACAAACTATGCACATAAAATGATGGGGTCTAAATTAGCTGTTACCACTCAAGGAAGAGATCTTGGGATCGTTGTGGACTCAGTGTGCAGCAGCTGTCAAAAAACCCAACAACGTTGGGAATAATTAAGAAAAGGATAGATTATAAAACAGAAAATATCCTATTGCCTCTCTATAAATCCGTGGTACGCCCACATCTTGAATACTGCGTGCAGATGTGGTTGCCCCATCTCAAAAAAAGATACATTGGAATTGGAAAAGGTTCAGAAAAGGGCAACAAAAATGATTAGGGGTATGGAACGGCTTCCGTATGAGGAGAGATTAATAAGACTGGGACTTTTCAGCTTGGAAAAGATAGAGGTCTATAAAATCATGACTGGTGTGGAGAAAATAAATAAGGAAGTGTTGTTTATTCCTCATAACACAAGAACTAGGGGTCACCAAATGAAATTAATAGGCAGCAGGTTTAAAACAAACAAAAGGAAGTATTTTTTCACACAACTCACAATCAACCTGTGGAACTCCTTGCCAGAGGATGCTGTGAAGGCCAAGACTACAACAGTGTTCAAAAAAGAAGACAGGATACTGGGCTAGATGGACCTTTGGTCTGACCCAGTATGGCCGTTCTTATGTTCATTGATCTCAGCAGTTTTACAGAGGTCATATTTTTAACGTGGATAAATTAAACTTGAACCCTTTTCTCCGTAAGTATTGGGCACAAATATGTGTTCCTGCCTACATACCTTTTTGCTTTGTTATTCTTTTTCTTTAGATGCTTACTGTAACCATTGTAAAGTTCCAAATCTCCATGGATTATATTCCTCAATTTAGTATCCTGATGTAGTTTATAACTTTTTTATTTTTCCCTAAAAAAGGCTGTTTATCTTCAGAATCCTAATGAAACAATAAAATGGTGAGGTTTGTTACTCTTTAACAACTGTTATCCATTGGATTGGAGAAACTTATATTATTTTTATCTTGGCATATGGAAAGCCAGTGCTGCCAAAACATATATGGGAGTGACATCAGCATTTCCTTGAGTCGTTTGTGTCTAATGGTTCCAGGTAGTGACTTGTGTGCTACTTGAATATTCATGTAAAGTGTACTCTACATCACATCCTGCAATTCTCTCCTCTCTCACACACAACTTTTAGGCCTTGGAAATCAGTAGTAAAAAGTTATTAGTCCTCTACTATGTCAAATGTCTACACACAAATTTGCTACTAACACTCTAAGGGTATGCTCAAACGTTACATGGCTGGTTTAGATAAGTAACTTGGAGTACAACACAATTAGTTCTCCAGGTACTATCCAGTAATGGACAATGCTCCTACATCACTTTACCTCCAGTGCTGGATGTGGAGATAGATCAGAGGTGGGCAAACTATGGTGGTCCGCGGGACCGTCCTGCCCGGCCCATGAGCTCCTGGCCGGGGAGGCTAGCCCCCGGCCCCTCCCCCGCTGTCCCCCCTTCCCCACAGCCATGCCGCCGCGCGGGCAGTGCTCTGGGTGGCGTGGCTGCGCGCTCCTGCAGGGCAGCGCAGCAGCGTGTCTGGCTCTGGCTGGGCAGCGCCGTGGCCAGACATGCTGCTCTGAGCGGCTTGGTAAGGGGGCGGGGAGCGGGGGGTTGGATTAAGTGGCAGGGGGTCCCGGAAGGAAGTTCTTCTTCACACGGTGCACAGTCAACCCATGGAACTCCTTGCCTGAGGAGGTTGTGAAGGCTAGGACTATAACAGCATTTAAAAGAGAACTAGATAAATTCATGGAGGTTAAGTCCATTAATGGCGCTTAGCCACGATGGGTAAGGAATGGTGTCCCTAGCCTCTGTTTGTCAGAGGGTGGAGATGGATGGCAGGAGAGAGATCACTTGGTCATTACCTGTTAGGTTCACTCCCTCTGGTACATCTGGCATTGGCCACTGTCGGCAGACAGGATACTGGGCTAGATGGACCTTTGGTCTGACCCAGTATGGCCATTCTTATGTTCTTATCTGGGCCCAAAAAGGAATTCTGCCTTTAAATAAACTGGTTCTGTGACCTTGTTCTATGGTCAGTGTTCAGTCGTGCATAAGGGAGATACTATCTTCTTTTCATAGTTA